ACCCGAAAGTTGTTTGTGAGTGCCAGCTTGTCATGGCCACTGCTAAATTGTGCAGGATCGATGGGATAGAGGCTTCCCACCTCTCTGCCTTAGGTGTGCGGGAGAACAAAGGCATGCACGTGCACACACACACTCTCTCTTTCTCACACAAACACATACAACCACATCTTAATTTTTTTCTTATTAAAATCAGAAGTGCATCTGTGATGTAACGCACTGAGGATGGCAGAACATCTTGCTAAAAATGCATACACCTTAATCCAACCACTGGAAAATACAGACAAACCCATATTGAGAGACATTCTATAAAATACCTGACAAATGCTTTTGTAAAGGATCAAGGTCATACAATATAAGGAATAACTGAGGAACTGTCACAGACTGGGCAGGTTAAAGGGATGAAGGAGAAGTGATAATTAAATGCAATGTGGGATCCTGGACCAAGAAAGAAAGGGCAAAGTTAGGAAAAGTCTGTAAATTAGCTAATGACTTTGTATGGATGTTAATGTCTTGGTTTTGATCATTGAATTACAAACGTTTAAAATGTTGACACAGGGGAAGCTGGGTACACTCTGTAAGGATACTCTATGTTCTATTTGTGCAGCTTGTCTGCAAATCTAAAATGATTTCAATATAAAATGTTTAAAAAATTGTAGGGAGGGGATTGGTTAAAATAGAATTTATCTCATATCATCAATTTGAAGATGAGTAAGAGTATGCATTAAGTACTTTGCACAATGTCTGGTGCATGTTTGGTATTTAAAAGCTATTAGTTATTTTAAAACAACTGGAAGTATAGGCCTAACATTTCAGAAATAAATTTGGTGCTAATTATTAGATGTTTGCACTTGAACCTGGTACAGTTAAACCTGTGTGCTTGTGTTTACTTGTTTCTCATTTCATCCCACAGGTGTGGTCAGGGAATTTTCTTATTTTAGGAGCCATTAGTTATGAGTTGAGGTGTTCAAGGCTGGAGTCTCTGCAGACACCAGGCTTATATGTGCTCAAGTCCACTTTTGCGATTCTTGAGGTGAAGTCGGTGTGTAAGAAGCTGACTTGGCTTGGATGCTAATCAAAGTGGAAATATTACTCTCCAGATAGAGTTAATGGGGGCACTAACTTTCCTATAGCTTTCTCTTTTTCAATTTCTGGTTTTGACATTGTTCTTTTTAAAATAAATTTATCTATGTATCCATAATGAATTGACTTAAAGAAATATGTTGCTATTGATAATACTTATGTCCCATGAAATTGGAAGAAATAATAAAAGTGGTACATGAAAGATCAAAGATTGGGAAAGGAGGTTTTAGAATGAGGGGAAATTTAGCTTTGTTAACCATGAAGTAGCTTAAACTGTGGCCATTTAAAAAATACTAAGGAAGGAACATCTATAGGGCAAAAAGGTAGAATCTTACTCCTAACACTCTTCAACCAACTTCGCCCAGAATAAATGGAGAAATAGGGAAAATGCAGTTTTATTCTTTAAACCCTCCATTTTGTCCACTGTGTGCATCAACAGCTAAATTAAAATATACAAGTTCAGAGACCGATTTCAGGAGCAGTGACTGAGTATGGAGAAGTAGCTACTCTTAACATCCACTCAATATTCATTTCACAAGGATCAATTATATACCATGGCTAATGCACACTTGCAGTGTGCGCCCAACCACAGTGCAGGTGGTGAATGCAAAACACACACCGAGAGTCCTTTTAAGCAGCTAAATGGACACCCCATTACAGATCCATAATATAGAATGGCTGCTCATCTGCAAATGGATTGAGAGCGAAGGGTTCTTAAATGACCGGGGTACTTAGGTTTAAAAGGCCAGTAACTGGATGTGCAGTCAGAGCACACATGGTTTTTAGGATTAATAATACATCGATGTGTGTCAGTGTTAATATACATTTACAGCTCACAGGCCGTGAGGCTGAGTGTTCAGCCCATTTGCAGCCACATATAAAAGGACGACTCTGTTCCTTCTTCTCATTAATGCCTTCACTCCCAGGAAAATTAGATTATGCAAGGAAAGCCATTCAAATGACACTGAAGTTTTCCTTCCTTGAAAGCCTCCGCTAGGAAAAGCGCTCGGCCTGGTGATGCATGTGCTGCTCTCTGTTCTCCTTGCTCCATCAGGGGCCTTCAGAGCCTGAGGGAGGTGCTAGGAGGAGGTCCAGTCTCCACTGACCACTTTGCCGATGTGCCCGCCTGCCACTGACAGAGTGTGCTAGGCCTGGCACAGCCCAGAAAGCTGCTGGGTGGCTTCTTGCCTTTTTTGATTTTTAATACTTTAAGGTCTAGGACACATGTACAGAATGTGCATGTTTGTTACATAGGTATACATGTGCCATAATGATTTGCTGCACCCATCAACCCGTCATCTACATGAGGTATGTCTCCTAACGCTATCCCTCCCCTAGCCCCCAACTCCTCAACAGGCCCCGGTAAGTAATCTTCCCCGCCCTGTATCCATGTGTTCTCATTGTTCAACACCCGCCTATGAGTGAGACCATGTGGTTTTCATGTTTGGTTTTCTGATCCTGTGTTAGTTTGCTGAGAATGATAGTTTCCAGCTTCATCCATGTCCCTGTAAAGGACATGAACTCATCCTTTTTCATGGCTGCATAGTATTCCATGGCATATATGTGCCACATTTTCTTTCTCCAGTCTATCACTGATGAGCATTTGGGTTGATTCCAAGTCTTTGCTACTGTGAGTAGTACTGCAATAAACATACACGTGCATGTGCCTTTATAGTAGAATCATTTATAATCCTTTGGGTATATACCCAGTAATGGGATTGCTGGGTCAAATGGTATTTCTGGTTCTAGATCCTTGAGGAATCACCACACTGTCTTCCACAATGATTGAACTATTTTACACTCCCACCAACAGTGTAAAACCATTCCTATTTCTCCACAGCCTCTTCTTGTTTCCTGACTTTTTAATGATCACCATTCTAACTGGCATGAGATGGTATCTCATTGTGGTTTGCATGATGACATGATTGTATATTTAGAAAACCCCATCGTCTCAGCCCCAAATCTCCTTAAGCTGATAAGAAACCTCAGCAAAGTCTCAGCATACGAAATCAACATGCAAAAATCACAAGCATTCCTATTCACCAGTAATAGACAAACAGAGAGCCACATCACGAGTGAACTCCCATTCACAATTGCTACAAAGAGAATAAAATACCTAGGAATACAACTTACAAGGGATGTGAAGGACCTCTTCAAGGAGAAATACAAACCTTGCCTTCTTTTTAAGTTTATCCAAGCTTTCACCATACTGTGTGACAGAAGAGATGCCTGTAAGTGGTGTCATTTGGGAATTAAGTCTCACACACGTGCCATCAGACCCAGAACTTTAAGTACAGAAAGCTCCTTCACTTATCAGCATTTGTAAGGACGGAACCTTCACATCCTTGAAATAGTATTTTTTTGAGCAATTGCAGTGAGGGTGGGAAATGAGGGGCACTATTTAATATTTACAGAGCAGCTTTATTGATTGTCTCGCAGAAAGTCAAGGCAGGAAGGTATTTTAATGAAGCACACATAAAAATAATGGGAAGATTAGTTAAACATATAAATAAATGAAATAATATGCACAATTAAATAAGAAAGTCAAGCCCTTTGAGGTCTTATTGTGCCCTGCTAAGAGCTTTGTGTGTGTTATCTTACACTATCCTCACAATAAACCTAGGAAGTAACTCCCCATTTTTCCAGATGAGGAAACCAAGGTTCAGAAAGTTTAAATCACTCACTTAATGTCAGATACCCACTGGCAGAGCTGGGATTGAAACCCAGGATTGCCTGACTCTGCAGCAAGTGCACTTAAACACCTCTTCTCTATTTTTCAGACAGGGATATAAGCCTATTAATTAGTAGGTGGAAAATCAGTGGAATGGGTCATAACTGGTATTAAAAAAAAATGAGGTTGGACACAGTGGCTCATGCCTATAATCCCAGCACTTTGAGAGGCTGAAGCAGGTGGATCACTTGAGATCAGGAGTTTGAGACCAGCTGGCCAACATGGTGAAACCCTGTTTCTACTAAAAATACAAAAGTGATCTGGGCGTGGTGGTGTGCACCTGTAATTCCAGCTACTTGGAAGGCCAAGGCAGGAGCATTGCTTGAACCAGGGATGGGGAGGTTGCAGTGAGCCAAGATTGTGTCACTGTATTTCAGCCTGGGCAACACAGTGAGACTCCAGATCAAAAAAATAAAATAAAATAAAAAACAAAATAGAATGGAAAAGAAACATGGAGTAAAATATTCTGTGAAAGTTTTGTTTCAATTTCCTATTTGCATTTAGACATATACACTTGTGCGTCTATGTCTGTGTGTGTCTGTGTGTAAAAGTGTGAGATACTCTGCTCTTCACTATATTTGCCTCTGATAGAGCCACTTGAAGGTCACACTGAAGGTCTCTTGCAAGCAAGGTGTGCAGCCCCTACATTCTCTGCTCTTGTGAGAGGCATTTTCTTTCTTATATTACCTTTCTCCCAAGATTCTCAGGGCTCCAGCTATTCTGTGCACAGCAGTGTAGATAAATTAATAATACAATTTAAAACCGATTCCACCAAGATAAATAGCGCTTCCTAGATCAAGAGTGTAGCTGGCCAGAATGAATGAAATTTACTAACCCTGAGATGCTTAATCTTCCATTACATGGAAGTTAATGATTATAAGAAAGGAGTGATGGTAATTCACTTCTGCTTTTACAGGAAATCCAACCATCTCATTTTTAGCAAATCTTTCTTCTCAGCACACCTCAGTGCCAAGGATAACTGCCCTGCTTCTGTAGGTACGTTGGCCAATGGTCATAAATCAAAGCCTATTCTTTGCCAAAGGCTTATGCCTTCTGGCATGCATGGGCTTGCAAGATGTCTCAGGGGAATTTTTTGGGAAGGCTACTTGGGTGCCCTTTCTGTTACCCACTCAGAGAAGGCTAGGGAGGGGCTGTTTTCCAACCATAGCGGGGAAGCAGTGGCACATACCTTTAGCACAGTCCGCGCCTAGAAATCCCGGGAAACAGTGACATACCCCCGACACACATTCACCATTCCCATGGCAGTTACGTGGACAGTCCTGCACTGAATCTGAAAAAGAGAGACAAGTAGCGATTACCTTTTCCTCTGTCTACTGGTGCAGTAATTTAACCATCAGTAACTAACCATTTTTAAAGACTAGTGGCAGTAACCTCAGATACCTATAAGAGGGGACTGGTCGGGAACGTAAGTGAGTAAAGGAAGAGAACAGGGAGTGGTGGGGACTAGGACAGCTAGAACAGTGCCCTCCAGGTGATGACTCCAGGCAGGAATGCAGGGCTAGTAGTGCTGTAACTTTCGCATTTTAAGAATAAACTACCAATCCCACTTATCGTGGTGGTTCATGGCTATAATTCCAGCAGGTGGATATTTGAGATCAAGAGTCTGAGACCAGCCTGGCTAACATGATAAAACCCTGTCTCTGCTAAAAAAAAAAAAAAATGGCTGGGTATGGTGGTACATGCCTATAGTCCCAGTTACTTGGGAGGCTGAGGCAGGAAAATAGCGTGAACCCAGGAGGCAGAGGTTGCAATGAACTGAGATCGCACCACGACACTCCAGTCTGGGCAACAGAGCGAGATTCAATTTCAAAAGCAAACAAACAGACAAAACAAAACAATAGAAAGAAGAAACTATCAACCATGATTTAAAAACCATGAAGTCTCCCATGTTTTAATGTTGACAAGTTTTTAAACACTGTACCCAGCCCCCCCTCTCAACCTTCATCTTCTCAACTATTTAAGATTTGGTCTGATGTATGGGGTATCAGTTTTCAGCCTTAGGTATAGAGAGTGATTCTTCAAAATAGGAGCAGTTATTCCTAACCTCAGATTTGTAGAGAAAAAATATTCCTTGCTTTAAGGAATTCTAATAAAAGAAAAACCCGAAAGCATAAGACTGCTTAAATTAGGCATGATTTTTGGAGTTTTTAAGTAGGAGATTTTGGGTTATACAAATGTCCTTTTATGCTTGGCTTTTGAGGATGTTATTTTTCATGAAAATGAATTAGTTCACATTTGGCTCTATCCTGCATCCCCGTCTTATCTTGTGATTTACCTTTCTATGTATACTCTCAAGTAATACCTTCAAAGGAATGACTGAAACTTTTTAATGTTGATTTGGGGCTGCACATAAATAGTCATATTCTTTAAAAATTATTACCATCGTCCTAACTTTTGTCTTAAAACACATTTAGACTTTCAGGTTCCAAATTACTAAGATGATGAAAAGGAAAACGTAAGCCATTATTCCCAAAATGTGATGTTATATCACCCTTGGAGATCTGGGGACGTTGGCCTGGTGATGAGATGTGAAAGGCTGTGAAGTCTAATTGTTCCTAATGGAATTACCTGAGAGTGATAAAGGATGTCTTGCCTTTAAACCTGACTTCCCATTCACTCTCCTTCTGGATTGTGAATCATGCAGTTTTGTCTTCTACAGTGTTTCCCTTCTCAGTCTTCGTCTTTCAGAACCATATTGTAGTTGGTTTCTGGCACGCTGATGACAACTCAATGAGTATATTTGCTTTTTCAAAATGAGACAAAAAATGATAGACCCCATCAAGCCAGTTTCCTTAATGTGTAACAATGAACATTTCAGACCTGAAACTCCTTGAGGTAGGCTGTGTAAATGTCGGCTGAGAAGCATCCAGGTGGCTACCAATTTGTTTCATTTATTCATCCTTCGTTCAAAAAGCATTAGGTGCTTCTGTGGATCAGCAAATCAGCAATTTCAGAGGATGCTGGGAGACCATTCTCCCTCGGCCTCTTATGTTTCTGAATGTCTTGAGAGCACAGGCATTGACTGCCTTAGTTCTGAACTATCTTTTCAAGGCTGTCTGCATTGGGAACAGCCTTGGGAGACAGCGATAGTGTCTCTCTCCTGAGTAAAGAGTAGGTTTACTTATTAACCAGTATAGTAAAGACAATGTCTCCCTCTGGAACAAAGACCAAGCCCGCTTACTGCCCATTCTAAGAGACTCGGGTTCAGTAAGCTCTGGGTTTTTCTCCTGCAATGCAACCCATGACATGTGCTGGTATCACCTGGCCTGAGGGAGGCCCTGGGGTGTTACGCTGAGGACACTGGGGCTTAGGGAACCAGAACATGTGCTGCTACTCTGGATATTGCATTGCTCTGAGTAATAAGGTCCCTTGTCTCTGACCCATGAGTCTCATGTCTTCTAATGGCATCCATGAAACTGTGCAAACACGTTAGCTTGCAATTAGGGTAAGATCTCAACCTGTCATATTCTTAAATATGATTCAGTCTACTAACTGAGCACTTATTATATGCAAAGCACTATAAAATAAGGCATTGGAGATACCATGGTGAATAAGGTAGACAGTCCCTGCCCTCATAAAACTTTGCACTATCCTAGAGAACACAAGCCAAAATAACAAATGAATCAAATGAGTAAAAGTTACAGTAAGTGCTTTGAAGAGAATAAGATACTGGGATGAAGTAACGAGAGGAAGCTCAGAGGAAATGTTCAGGGAGGGCCTCTCTACTCTATGCAGGTGACTCTGAAGGATGAGCTGAAACCAGCAGGCAAAGAGCTGAGGGAAAGGTATTCCAGGTAGGAGGAATAGCTTATGCAAAGGCTCTGGGATGGGAAAGAGAAGAACTGAATCCAATTTGGATGCAGGGTAGCAAACAAGGCAGAGTGTCACAATACTTGAGTTTGGAGCCATCCTGGCAAGGAGAAGAATCATCCAGGGACCTGTAGGCCAGTAGTCCCCAATCTTTTTGCCGCCAGGGACTGGTTTCATGGAAGACAATTTTTCTACAGATTGGGGCTTGGGGATGGTTTCGGGTGATTCAACCACATTATATTTATTATGTGCTTTATTTCTATTATTATTGCATTGTAATATAAATTGAAGTAACTATACAACTCACCATAATGTGGAATCAGTGGGAGCCCTGAGCTTCTTTTCCTGTAACTAGATAGTCCTATCTAGGGATAATGGGAGATAGTGACAGGTCATCAGGCATTAGATTCTCATAAGGAGCATGCAACCTAGATCCCTTACATGCGCAGTTCACAGCAGGGTTTGTGCTCCTATGAGAATCTAATGCTGCTGCCGATCTGACAGTGGGTGGAGCTCAGGTGGTAATGCAAGCAATGAAGAGCAGCTGTAAATACAGATGAAACTTCACTTGCTTGCCCACTGTTCACCTCCTGGTCTGCAGCCCAGTTCCTAATGGGTCGCAGACCCTTCTGTGATCTGTGCATGTGAGAGACCTGGGTTGCATGCTCCTTATGAGAATCTAACACCTGATGATCTATCACTGTCTCCCATGACCCCTAGATGGGACCATCTAATTGCAGGAAAACAAACTCAGTCTCCCACTGATTCGACATTATGGTGAAAACTGATCTGTGGCCCTGGGGTTGAGGACCCCTGCGGTAGGCTATGTGGATGACTTGGATTCTTTTTGGAACTTCCAGGTACAAATGAAACATTTAAACAGAGGAACATCATTTTCCAGCCTGCATTTTTTGAAGCCATTCCTACAGTGAGGTAGTGATTGCTTCTCACTGAGCATGTGGGTCTGGGGATGGTTTGGTGGAAATTGACATTCCTGAGGTCAAGTCTCCCTGTTCTCAAAACTGACATCTTTGGCAATCAAGCAGCAGAGGCCCAGGAATCTCTTTGCCACCATAGTCCCATGGAAAAGGCCCAAGATCTTTGCACAGTCTTTTTGCTCAGCTGGAGGACTTCACTGGGGTATTTATCCTTGTGTCTCAGATCCTGGGTGCCTTCCTCACCTTCCTCAATCTGGGCTTTGTACCACTTCCTCTTTGCCCCTGCAATTCTTACAGCAGTCTTTTATTTTTCTTTTAAGAAAGAGAAAAAAAGAAATAAAAGAAGAAAAAGAAAGAAAGGAAGAAAGAAAAAAGAGAGAGAGCAAGAAAAAAAGAATGAAAGAGAGAAAGAAAGAGGAAGAGAAGGAGGGAGAGAGAATGGGAATCTTGCTCTATTGCCCAGGCTAGAATGCAATCTAAAAATGGGTATTAAAAACCTCTTTTATGCAAGAAAATGTGCTTAACAATGGAGACGGGAAGGAATAAGGGAGGAAAATAACAAACAAGCAGCCAACCAATATTTCATTTAAACCTGTGAAATGCTATGCAATTGCTGAGGAGTGATTTACTTCCAATTTTGTGGTCACTATTAGAATAGGTGTGATGTGGTACTGATAAGAATGTATGTTTTGTGTATTTGGGGTGGAGAGTTCTGTAAATGTTTATTAAGTTTACTTATTCCAGGTCTGAGTTCAAGTCCTGGATATCCTTGTTAATTTCCTGTCTCATTGATCTGTCTAATATTGACAATGTAGTGTTAAAGTCTTCCACTATTATTATGTGGGAGTATAAGTCTCTTTGTAAGTCATTAAGAACTTACCTTATGTATCTGTGTGCTCCTGTATTGGGTACATATATATTTAGGATCGTTAGCTCTTCTTGTTGCATTGTTCCTTTTACCATTATGTAATGTCCTCTTTGTCTCTTTTGGTCTTTGTTGCTTTAAAGTCTATTTTATCAGCGATGAGAATTGCAACTCCTGCTTTTTTTTTTTTTTTTTCTCTCCATTTGCTTGGTAAATCTTCCTCCATCCCTTTGTTTTGAATCTTTGTGTATCCTTGCATGTGAGATGGGTCTGGATGCAGCATACTGATGGGTTTTGGCTTTTTATCCAATTTGCCCATCTGTGTCTTTGTGGTGGTCTCTGTATTACCTGGAGTTGAGTATTGTCCTGCCTTGCTAGGTTGGGAAAGTTTTCCTGGATGATGTCCTGAAGAATATTTTCCAGCTTGAATTCATTCTTTTCATCACATTCTGGTACACCTATCAAACATAGATTAGGTCTTTTCACATAGTCCCATATTTCTTGGAGACTTTGGTCATTCCTTTTTAGCCGTTTTTCTCTAACCTTGTCTTCTCGTTTTATTTCATTAAGTTGGTCTTTGACCTCTGATATCCTTGCTTCTCCTTGATCAATTTGACTGTTAAAACTTGTGCATACTTCACAAAGTTCTCGTATTGTGTTTTTCAACTCTATTAATTCACATATATTCCTGTCTAAATTGTCTATTCTTGTTAACATTTCGTCAAACCTTTTTTCAAGGTTCTTAGTTTCTTTGCATTGGGTTAGAACATGTTCTTTTAGCTCACAGAAGTTTTTTATTACCCACCTTCTGAAGCCTGATTCTGTCAATTCATCACACTCATTCTCCATCAGGCCTTGTTCCATGCTAATGAGGAGCTGCGATCCCCGTAGGAGGAGAGACATTCTGATTTTGGATGTTTTCAGCCTTTGTGTGCTGGTTTCTTCCCATCTTTGTGGATTTATCCACCTGTCATCTTTGTAATTGCTGACTTTCAGATTGGGTCTCTAAGTGGATGTCCAGCTTGTTGGTGATGAAGTTTTTTCTGTTTCTTAGTTTTCCTTTGGTGGACACCCCTCCCTCACAGAGCTGGACCTTCCTGGGTTCAGCTGTGCTTGCTCTGAAACTCTCAATGTTCAGCACTTCCAATTGCTGTTTTTTTGTGGGGGTGGGACCAGCCGAACCCTATCACCTGGCTCCCTGTCTCAGAGCCTCTTCTTTTTTTTTAGTTGAACAGTCGACTCTCTCGCAGGTGTTCTAGTCGCCCACTGAAAAGGTGCTGGAATCTGTGTAATTTTCCCTGCGGCGACCCACTGCACCGGCTGAAATAGTGGCGTTGAGATTCATGGCACTGCCTGGGAATCTCCTGGTTTGGCTCCCCACTTCAGTCCCCTTTTCAATCAGCTGAATGGGTGAGTCTGCCTTCCCAGAGTTCCAAATGCCAATTAAAAGGGCACCCAGTCCCGCATACTCCATACTGAGAACCACCGCACTGGCCAAAAGAGTTGCGCTGGCAACACGTGGGGCTCCTCCACTGGGAATCTCCTGGTCCATGGGCAACAAAAATTCATCTGGAAGTGTGGTGTCCACTCGCTCTCTGCGCTTTCACTGGGAGCTACAATCCTGAGCTGCTGCTAATTGGCCATCTTGGATCTCTCTCCAAGACAAGTCTTTTTACATATCTATCATCTCTCACCAAGCTCTCGATCCGAACTGTTCACCAAGGTATTATCAATGCTTGGTATACAATAGGTCCTTGGTAAATAGTTGTTGAAATGTGCGTGCGTGCGTGCGTGTGTGTGTGTGTGTGTGTGCGTGCGCATATGTGGGAGGGTAGAAGAATCCAAAATAAACAAAAATTGTAATACAGAGTATTTTTCATTTAAGTTTCCCAACATCTTATATTTAAATAGTATTTCGATAGTTTCTGAGAGAAAAACAATAATGTGGCAAAGCTAAAATATAAAGGAGCTTACATTTCAATCTCCTTCCTCCAATACTTGGTTAAATATGATTTTTAAGATGTTATCAGTTTTCCTTCTTATCAACTTGGTTTACATTTTCTTGAGGAAGAAATGGCCTCCAGAGTTGAGATCAAGCCTAGGAAATGGGATTTTACCCAAGTGGAGGCTAGCGTCATGCTTCCAGAAAGCCTTTCAGTTGTCCCGAGATGAAACTCATTTCTGAAAGCAGGTTGCTTCTCTCCAAAACACATCAAAAGACTTCCCCGAATCAAAGGTATATTTAGTGTGATTGCTGGTTGACACCTGTCTAATATTTTCCCCTGTTTCACATCACGGGGGTTTACAGCACTCCTGGCTGCTCTGGATGGAGAACGTTTTGATGATAGGCATGTGTGGGAGAAACTCTGAACCAAATAAAACACTGTTCTTTTCCCTGCATTTCAGGCCAATTACTATCATTGCTCCATCAAGATGTCTGCCCAACTATTAGGCCAATTACTTTCGACTTTCTCTTTGAGCTACAGTCCAGACAAGAAAATCCTCTTGGGAGAATTGCTATTCCCAGCTCCAACAGGCCAGGGTGGGGTGATGGCCTGGGGGAAGGAGATTTTACTACCACAAGGTCTGTGTCCATTTGGGTAAAGGAAAAAGAGGACATAAGCCATTGTGAAATAATCTGAACCCCAGAAATTGTGTTAAGTTTAGAGGGAAAGGGATTTAGTTGGCTAGAATCCAAAGAAATCCAGTGGTTAAGAACACAGGCTCTGGAAAGTATGAATCCTGATTTCACCTTTTCTTGGCTGTGTGTGACCGTGGGCAAGTTTTCTAACTGAGGTAAGCTCAGTCCTGGCATCCTCAGCTGGAAATGCAGAGAATCGTGACAGTGCTACCTCATATGGCTACTCCATGGGTTGAGGAAGCAAGGGACACGAAGGCATAATACCAGGGCTGGCACACTGTCGGCGCTCTATAAATGTGTAGCTGATCTTTTTGTTACGAATAAATTCTCTGAGTCCTTGTAGACCCCAGCTGAGCCAGCTGCTGTGGGGGGTATGTGCTGTCACATACGTGTCAAGCCTCTTGAGTTTAAACACAAAGTGACACAAAGGAAGTCATTTCTCATCATGTTCTTAAACTAAAGATTTTTTTAAAATCTCAACATCTCAAGCTGGTTCCAAATTTGTTTCTAGTTTTTTCCTTTTGTGAGCTAGTCTCTACCCTATTACTTTTCTTCTCCATTGGTACCTAACCTAATTCTGGGTATTTTCCCTTCTGTGGAATGCTTCTCCACTGATTTTTGTTATACAAAGTTTAAGACATTACTTTAGAGTAGGGATTGGCAAACTTTGTCTGTAAAGGGGCAGAGAGTAATGATTTAGGCTTTGTGGGCCATGTGATCTCTGCAGCAATGACTCAACTCTGCCGTGACAGTGGGAAAGCTGCCATAGACAATATGTAAACAAATGAATGGGGTGTGCTCCAATAAAACTTTATTCATAAAAACAAGCAGTGGGCCAGATTTGGCCCATGGGCTACAAGGAAGTCAACTCCTGCTTTGGAGCATTTGGTCAGCCTTGATAGGGTCAATCTTTGCTTAGCAGAGGGAATAAGGATTGACTTCAACCCCACGGTCAATACCAAAACTCTGTGATTTTACACCATTCTGACGTAATGGCCACGGATGAAGAATTGCCACCTGAACTTGAAGTTGGATTACATAGCTCTTTGAAGAGTCAGGGAGACCCTCAGGAAAATCCATGGGCCAGTAGAAAAGTTTGTAAAATGTAGTCAATAGAAAACATCTATACTCGATGTATTACTAAAGGAGAAAAAACCAATCGGATGTCATTCAGTGACCACCAACTCATGCCACATACGTTTTATTTGTCATGATACTCACATCGACCTTTACTTCATTACCCATGATGAAAATGAGCCCCAGAGACATAAGTGAATTGCCCAGTTAAGATGGGGGGAAGAAAATCTTGGATTTAATGCTGGAGCTACCAGGTCTTTCTTCAAGAAGCCACCCTGTGTCGGCTTCCCCAGTGAAACTTGAGATCTACAACTAAAGTGGTTGGGACACATGGTGTTATACAAAGGCAGTGGACAAGATCCAGAAGCCCATGCCATTTCCATTGTTTCCACTGGCCGGGTCTTTGAGGAATTCAGCTTTCTGAATCTCGATGTATCCTTCTGTGAAATGGGTCTAATAATCTTCCCTGATTCACAGAGGCTCTACCCAGGATCAATTATTATTGTCAGGAGGAAGATTAAAAAAAAAAACCCCAACAACATAAGTGTAATGAAAATATCTGCAGCTTCTTTGCTTGTTAACATACTTAGGATTTGTTGTAGAAAAACTTCATGAAATCTTCATCAAGCGAATGACCCTTTTAAAGCTTTGATTGCATGTATAAGGACATTTTGGATGTAACTTAGCTGGATTTCCCTTGATAGCTAATAGAAAGCAGGGCCACCCTTTGCCAAAATAAGTACTTAATTAAAACACTTTGAGATTTACCTATGTAAAAATAAAAATATAATTTCTAAAATGTCTATTTAATTTCTCTGATTTAAAGTTTTTTTAAAACCAGTTTTTATTAATATTTTGAGGTTCCTTCATTTTTAAGAAAAATTCTGAGCTGATTTGAATTTTACAACTGATAATAACTGATAATTTTAACAACGGATAATAACCAGTTGTGTCTCTACTATATGCTTAGAGATTTAATTCATATATTTATTTTATTTGATCCCCACAATGGCCCTATGAGGTGGGTGTTCATGTTAGTTCCATTTTACTATGAGGAAACTGAGGCTTACGAAAGTCAAGTGATTTGCTTACGTTGTGTGGTTGGGACTGACCCAGGCAGTCTGACCCAAACTCTTAACCTCAATTTCATCCTTGGTGGCTCTTTCGTGGTTTAAGCAGTATTTCCATTTAATCAGAGCTAGTTTCGGATGGGTAGCACTGTAAGACCTAAACAAAGGATCTTGGTTGGTTGTCATCTGTAGTAGAAACTACCTCAAAAGATGTGTCTTCTGCAGAGAAGCCCAGAACATTTCCGTCTTCCCTTCATGGCGTACCATCTCCGAGGCCCCACACCTACCTAGGACAACAGTACTGAAGGAAACCATCTCTTTGTCTTTTCCGTCATTGTAGAAGGCCAGATGCCACAGGCCCACGTCCAGGTACTGCACAAACACGGCTTCGTTCTGAACCAAGGTCTGAATGCTCCGGCGTTCCCTGGGAGACTCAACCACACTCCACTTCTCCTTCCCGTCCAGACGTTCCATGAAGTCATACTGGGAAAACGAGAGAGTACCACGTATGAGACAAGGTTCAGACGCGGTCCCATACCTGGCACCTTCGCCTCCCACCCATTTGTTAATTGGTTACCTTTTTGTTTTGTTAATTTGTTACCCATTTGTTACCTTTTTTGTAGCACATTTTGCTATGAACTTATCCAGGAAAACAAGAGCCACCAAAGGTATAACAATAATAACAGTCATTTATTATGCTTTATAATTATTGCTACTATTCATAGTTTTATTCTTCTAGGCCACAATCTCTTATCTGCTGTCCTGAAATCCAAAAAAGCTTTAACTCAAAGTTTTTTGTTTCTTTTTGTTTGTATGTATGCATCGTGTGTGTGTGTGTGTGTGTGGAGTGGTATACGCTGTTGCTCCCGTCCCCACTGGGGTGTTATATAATACAGAGTATATGCAAAGTATAACTTTTCCATAATCTTCCAGATTCTGAATTCCCAAATGTAATTGGTTCCCTGAGAGTTTCAGGTAAGGAATTATGAACCCATGTTACCAGCTACCATTTTATTGAACATTTACTAGGAGAATTTACTAGCCTCTCTATGAGAGGCTATGATGAGGGCCATGGAGGCTGAGAGAATCCTGAATGAGGTGCTTACTAGCTTCGCTTGTCTGTGCCTTGGTTTCCCCACTGGCAAAACTGAAAATAAGAGTAACTATGTTATGGGGTTGTCGTGAGGATTAAGATAATATTTAAAACATTGCCTGTCACCCAGGAAACACAAAATACAAGTTAGCCATCATGACCATTATCATCATTTTATTCAATTCTTGAAGAAACCCTGATTTGGTACCTATCTTGGTACTATTTACATCCATATTTTACAGATAAGAAAGCTGAGGCTCAGAGAAGTCAAGCAAGTTTTCCAAAGTCACACAGCTCCTAAGTAACCAAGCAAGAATTTAGACATACATTGGCTTGGTGTTTATGTTCATGCCCTAATAGTGCCTGGCCTTGGATAAACCAGCAATAACAGTTTAATTTTGCTTCACTGGAAACCAGGTTCAAAACTGGAAGTGATTAATGAGAGACAGAGCAGTCAGCTAAGACTACCAAGATAAGGGGATGGGAAGGTCGAATGGGATCCAAGAGAGGCCTGTTCTAAATAATAGGTGAAATCCTGTATCAGGCAAGTGGGAGCCATTGAAGACTCTTGAGCAGTGACTGATGTGAAGAAAGGGATGTTTTGAAGAATTAGTTTGTAGGAAGGCTATGAGATATTCTAAAGGGAGAAAAAAATGAAAGCAGGAGGACCAATTAGGAAGTGATTGCAGAAACCCAGGGGTGAGGTGAAAAGGATTTGATTAGGACAGTGAATGAGAAGAGGGGGACAACTTTGGAGGAACATTTCTAAGGAAGAGGTGACAGGGGTTGACTGTGGGCTGGACAGAGAGGATGAAGGAGAAGGGAAAGAGGACACCAATGTTTCTTACTTGTTGACAAGAAAATCGATAAATCCCCAGTAGAAATGGACTAATCTTGTGAACTCTTGCAAAATCACTGCATAGAAAAGTCACTTGCGTGCTGACTTCCAGAGAACATTCAAAGTGTGGGTTTTAGCCGATGAAAACCACTGCTGTGGGATTAAGCAATCTCTCCACTTTCCCTTATATAAAGAGGTTTTTATGGGTTACAGACATCAACTGTAACCCTTTTTACGCACTTCATAGAATGAAACTCCGGGAGTCTCCTAATGTGCCTTTCCTGTCGTCAGAATCCCCAGTTTTTCCACCTGATATGTGATCACTGAAAACAAAAGACTCTATAATCTTAAACACAAAGGCTTTGCTATCAGACAAACCTGGGTTTGAATTCTGACTCTGCCACTTACTATTCTTTGATGTTGGGCAAATCTACTTTTACCTTCTTCTTGGTTTCCATACCAGGGAATAATCACACCTAACATTCAGGGAGGTTATAAGGATGACATGAGATAATGCTTAGGGCAGGGCCTGGAAGATAATAACCATTTTATTAAGTACCTAGTGACTATGAGTCACCTACTTGCAAATCGTAATGATCCTGGACGAACAGTGCGTGGTTCTAGTTTCGCATGTCAGGAGCTGGCAATGGCCACTGCTTACAGGTTGAAATTTTCTCCACTTCTCGGGGAATGAGTGTGTTTAGCTTCTCTCTACCCCAAATCCCATTGGTCACAGCTGTCTTTGTGGGATAAAATAAATGATTTAAAGTGATATGACAAACTGATGCTGCTTTTGGAGACCTTTCTAACCAAAGCATTTGTTCCTTAGCAACCTCGAAAATGTCCAACTGCAAAGACCCATGTCTACAAATTGCTGTCAGCCAGAGGAATGGCTGTAACTTCCTTGGTGCCAAGGTGAGAAGAATCTACTTCATTTCGGGTTCAAGTAATCACCCCCATGAGGAAGAGTTTGGGGAAGATGATTACTTGTGTGGGGCCATTGCTCATTACTAATTTGGGCATCAGTCATCTCTTGCTGAACCACCTGAGCAGTCAAGGGACACGGAAATGGCTTAGGACTAGTGGCAGTGCTCACTGTCCAGCCCAGCAAATTACGCTTAAGAAGAGGCATTTTTCAGGGGAAAGAGAAGACATCCGTTTTGGCTGGCTCCTCAGAGTCCCCCCACAGAAGCACAGAGGGCAGTTTTCATTTAAGGAAGAATCGGCCAGCCAGGGGCTCTTGGAGAAGATATTGACTGTGATATGATATGGCGTCTGATGAGTCTCAATGCTGAAGCCCTTTATTGGGCTTTATTATCTTCAAAGCACTTATCACCCACTAAAATGATATAATGTGTTTTTATGTATGTTGTCTACTCAGAAGAAAATAAACTCCAGGAAGACAGGGACTTCATCTGCAGGGTAGACTGGCGAAGAGTGAGGGCTCCAGAACTCCTGCCCAGGTTAGAATCCTGGCTCTGCCACTTACTTGCTGTGACACTTGCATAAGTAATTTAAATTCTCCATGCCTCAGTCTCCCTATCTTCAAAATGGGGGAATAATAGTATCTCTACCTAAACGGTGCTATGAGGATTGAATGAGTCAGCCTATGTAAAGTGCTTAGAATATTATGTGTTTTGTATATGGTAAACATGCCTTAAAAATTCCAGCTATCACTATTGTAATTTACTGCTGTATCAAATTCACTTGGAGCACAGTCTAGTCAATAAATACTTGTTAAATATCAAGTTAATAGAAGATTGAATTTGTAAATGAATTCCATTGAAAGAAATCTAAATTGGAATGTATTGAAGGTTTTGCCTCTAACAATGATCGTTTCACTCTCTTGCCTTCTAATGTGCTTCCTTGGATGGGAAAGAAAGGGGAAAAGTTATAGTCAGCAAGGCTGAAATCGTGTACCGCCCAGTGCAGAACATTCATACAATGCGGTGCTGCGGTCCAATGCATTTGTGAATTCATATATAACATCAGGATTTAGTTACCTTTATGAGGCTTCTAGGATTCACCTTCCCAGTTCTCAATGGGATGACATGCTATGCATGCTTTTTTCCTTCGCACTGTCTTTGTTTCTTCTCTAATCTTTCCTCCCATTCTCTTGCCCTTGACACTGTTCCTCAGTGGTCTCTGTGGTAGCAACTGCTAGACATTGCCCCATCAGGATCCTGCTCCTTTCCAGCCCCCTTGTAGTGTGCTGGCCCATGGAATGCATGCCATGGAAGCTGCTCCACTTCTAGACCCTGCCTTCAGATGCCCTATGCAGCCTCTTATATGGTTCCCCTCCCTTCCCATCTTGGAGCCACCAGATAGAAGTGGCCTGGATCCTGGAATTAGCACTTGAAGGAGAGCCTGAAATTATGATGAGCAAGCAGTAAACATGTGCTAAATTAAGCCACTGAACTGTTGAGGTTTATTCAACAGTCATTTTGGCATAGCCTTCACAGTTGACCTTACGCCCCTCTTCCTTTCCAGACCACTCCACTCCTCAAGATCATTTTTTTTTTGAGATGGAGTCTGGCCCTGTCGCTCAGGCTGGAGTGCAGTGGAGCGATCTCGGCTCACTGCAAGCTCTGCCTCCTGGATGTTTCAGCGGTTCTCCTGCCTCAGCCTGCTGGTAGCTGGGATTACAGATGCACCCCACCATGCCCGGCTAATTTTTTGTATCTTTAATAGAGATGGGATTTCACCATGTTGGCCAGGCTGGTCTTGAATTCCTGACCTCATGTAATCCACCAGCTTTGGCCTCCCAAAGTGCTGGGATACAGGAATGGGCCACCGCGCTCAGTCAAGATCGTTTCTTATAGGACAGCAGGACAGGATCACCCAGGAAAAGAAGATGGCATCTTCTGTTGGCCAAATTCCGCGCTACCATGTGTAGGGTGTTTGTTTATCACAATTGCCCAGGAGTGTCCCAGTTCATACCTCTTGTCCCTCCTTCCCATCTCAAAAGTGCTCTAGAGTGGAGTGTACCCTGCACATAGATTAACACATGTCAAGCAGCATCACACAGCATCACTCACTGCTGCTATGACTTGGGCAAAGGCTGGAGACTAGAAATGCAGGGGAAATAAACTTAGCCAGCCGTGGAGACTGCCTTCTGGGATAGGGAGACTGGGGGCCAGCAAGAAGCTGGTCTGCAAGGAGGTTATCTGGTGTAGGGGAGCCTCTGCTCTCTAGGATTCCTAGGCTACAGCGTGGCCAGCTTGCCTGGCAGCCTGGCTGAGACTAGAAGGAGGGCATTTTCCAAAAGCTCAGATCCTGTCTAGAGTTTCCTTTTCCTGCCCCAACACTGGGAATTGATGACTCAGGCTTACTATTTGAGACATTTGCCTTCACTCTTCTAGGACCTCACTGTGATCAATCCGGGACATGGGGATGCTTGGGGGATCACACAGTGCCTCATTGACTAAAGAGGTTACTGTGTGGTGCGTCCTACCCAATAGGTCTGCAGAAGCTCTGGAAGGGGTTTAGGAGGCACATGACCAAATCCCAGTAGAAGGATATGTCTGCGCACGGGCTGGCTGCGGGAGGAAG